CAATAACCGTAAACATTCCCAGAATTCCCTGCGTTACATTTCAAATTTGATGATTTTTTTTGTTGAAATAACCGTTTCTTATTTTTTTCTTATCAGTTTTGTACATTAGGGTTGCATGTAACATCTATTGTTGAAAAATTAATGTTTATTGCATTATTTAAGTTTGATGGGTGTTACCATGATGGTGTTTAGTGTTTGTGTGAATGACACTGTGCATCTTCTATATTTGTTATTATTTAAAAGCTGCTTGTGATGGGCTTTGGTTCATCATGTGACTCATCACCACCTGCTTTTGGTGGTCATCAGTGCATTACAAAGCTACAAAACAGATTTCAGTACTTCAATAGGTTGGTATTTTAACATTATATCAGTTAATGAAATTACGGTATTTAACTGTAAATTTAAGTTACTGTAAAACCTAAAATGTTGCTACCATATTTTTTTACAGAAATTTTGGCAACCACAGCGGACGTTTTTTACCGTAACTTTTACGGGAATTTTTTTTTTTTTACAGTGTAGGCTTCATACACTTACCAACTTTGTGAATAGTGCGACACTGTCACACAAGAGACATGTTTTAGCGCTCAAATTATTGCAATGATTTTATGTATAATGTAAATACAAATGTATTTTTACTGGTTTACATGTTTTCTTAAGTCTATTTTATTCCTCTAAACATTTTAGAGTGTACGTCTTTAAGGAAGGTATGGTTGGCCAGTCACATGACTGGAAGCGGGAAATATTTCAATAAAGACAGCAGCATGCCAAACAAACAGTCAGCCACTAAGAGTCACAAAACTTCCCTGGATTGTGGAGTTACCTTCTTGTGGACTCACCTTTCCAGACACAACTGCAATCAATTGGATTATCACTTCTCATGGACTGTATATACACTGGTGGACACTCACTTTGGGACTGTTTTTAGGGTATGGCGCTATGAACTGTATGCTTTTAAAAGACTTGAGTTTTCCTGGTTTTATTGTGTCGTTTTAAAGTCCCGTGAACTTTGCAAGTACACCCTTCTTTTGAAACGCATTTCTCTCTTATGTCATTCTTTTAAAGGGGTCATATGATACTTTTTTTAAAGATCATTATTTTGTGTATTTGGTATAACAGAATGTTGACATGCTTTAATGTTCAAAAAACAATTTTTCAAATACTGTACATTAATTGTAGGTCCTCTATGCCCCGCCTCTCTCAAACACGTCATTTTCAACAAAGCCCCCTCCTTTGACAAGCGCAGTCTGCTCTGATTGGCCAGCTGACCCAGTGCATTGTGATTGGCCGAACACCGCAAGCACGCGTCGGAAATGTAACGCCCCTTACCATAATCGCCTTTGGTTTTGAGACTTTAGTCTTTGCAACTTCAGGGATCTTATCTATGCACAGTCAGCTTGTAACACTCCACAGAGAAAGGAAAACTTGAAATCGCATCATATGACCCCTTTAACACCTACAAACCTCTCACACAGTAAAATCTGTCCCCATTTGAAACTTTGTAACCCAGCCTCAGGCTGATCGTTACAAAAGTTAGCGAGGAAAAACTGGCCATCATACACTAAACAGCAGAGGATCACACACTGCCAGACTTTAAAGTGGTTCCAATCACAACAAAAACACACTTAATGAATGAAATCAATGTTTTCTAAAATCAGCTCAAAATATCATATGAGATTTATATAATCCGACTGGATGGATTCAGAGCCTGAAGCTAAAAACGATTAATAATTCAAATCAGAGTCTGTGACCATCATACTCTACGTGATTTTCTATGAAATCTGCCAACTCTAATCTGCAGACTGGCTCTTTAGTGACTAAAGTAAACTTCTCCAGACTGTAATTCTGGGCAAAAATCTGGTGTTTTACACACACACATATATACATGTGTGTGTGTGTACATTATATATATATATATACACACACACACATATTTATGCACTAATTTAATTCATATTGGTTTTAATAAAAACTAATCATATTGAGACAGAAAGAAATCCATTACAGTCATGAGAATGTTTTTACAATACATGAAATTTCATATATAAAGCTCGTTTAATCACCAAATTTTCATTCTGAATTTCAAATAGTCATGAAAACTGTCAAAATGCAAAACATTAAATTAAAACAGTGAATCTTTCTGACAGAAAGATTAAAAAACTAAAATGCACAGTGAAATCTTTAAAAGTGGAATTTTATTTAATTTATTTTTTAATGTGATGATTGTGGTGCTGCTTACCCAGTCTGTGGTCACTTTTGCAACCAGTTGGGTCTCTGATTCAAATAGTTCCTGCAGACTCTGTTGAGCGTTTTCACAAAAAAAAAAAAAAAAAAAAGTATAATGTATCTTTAGGTTTGGTGTAAAAATTAGTGTGAACAGTGCAAACCAGGACTAAAAACATCAGTTTCTTTTTTGGTCCGAAGCAAAAGGACTAAGAACCAAACTAGATGCGTCTTACAGTCAACATGAACATGCACAGAGGTCTGTATTAGGATGCACTGATGAGTTCCCTCACCTTCCTGGACTGCTGAACGATCTGCAGATACTGGCACAACTCCGCGGTGTGCGAGAACAGACCGGAACACACGCTCCTGTAGTGTTTAGCTGCCTGACTCGGATCGTACAGGCGCTCCTTACAAACCTGTCCGGAAAACAGTGGACAGAAGCCAGGATCAGGCCACATCCTGCCTTAAAGCACTCATGTTTGAATGCATTCACACCAAGTGCATGCAGTAGATGAGGAGTTCAGTACGTGGATGACGTCAGCGATGCTGCAGATGGGCTGACGGTGGCCGAGGTTCACTTTGGTCATCTGACACACCAGGATCTCCAAGGTCTCGCTTAATTCACGCTCCACCTGCGTCTCCAGACCCCAGTCCAGACTCAAGTACACAAGACGGCCCACAAACTCCACAGCCTACAGACACGTTGACATCTCTCAATAGCACATGCATGAATCAATGACATATTTAGGATTATGCATCTGAAGAATATAATAGCCTACCTGTTCCTCTGTCTCTATCACACAGGAATTACCTACAGAAAGATGTTAAATTCAGTGTTTTTTTTTATTACATCTAGTATGCAAAATAAAAGGAATATTACAAAATAGTCCCATTTTGTAAAAATACCCATTTTTTTTGCAAAAAAAAAAAAAAAAACGCCCCAAAAAAGTAAACCGATTCACCTACACAACAGTGCAGTTTTTACATCCAAATCACATCCATGTTAAAAAAAAATGCTTTTTTTTTTTCCTCCATGGAGCCACAGAAAATTGTGTCTTAATGTCTTATTTTAATTAATTAACACACTCATACACAATAAAAGTCTATTGGGCAAGGAACTGCACTAGAATACACATTAAAAGTAAAATAAAGACAATGTGAATAATGACAAAGTGTGTCAACATGGAAATGACAAATACATTTCTTTCTCCCTAATCAGGAAACCTTTGATTCATGTCACTGCAAAGTTATAAAGCATATCTATCAATAGAACAAGTAATTACTTCCAAATATGTAATTGCTTTTATAGAAATATATGATTGATTTCTGCTTTTAGACCGTCCAGCTTGCCCCACAGATTTCAACAGTACATTACTGTAAACGAATTTGCTTGCAATGAATAAACAGCACCACAAATATATACGTAATTCCTAAAGGGTTTACGGTTAAAATGTTAAATATAAATGCACTTTTGCAGTGCACACTATGGTACTCTCACCGGTATCGCCACTGTTACTCTGCCGCAGAGAGACGCCTCCGTCTCTGGAGAACAGCACCGCCTCCGCGGCCGGAGACACGGCCGTCTTCCGTGTTTGTTCACCGGACTGATGAGAGAGCATGCGGCAGAGCTGATAACACAGAGCCCAGGCCTGCTCCTCACTCACTGGATGACCCTGAACCTCCAGCATCTCAGCCAGAGACATCTGCTCATATGAACACCTGTGAGCTGTGCTCATGTCATATAAAGACAACTCCATCATCTCCTCTAAAACATAAGCGTTTCAGCTCCTCAACTGTTACAGAGCCAAACACTACTCGTATTTAAAACCCTGACTGAATAAAGATTACTTCCACAACGACAAAAGCTTCCTTCAATATGTGTGCTTCACAGTTCTTCTCTATAATGAGCGTAATTGACTGCACCTGAGAACTGAGTCAATCTGATAACGTGTCGATTCATTTGTAATGAATCGGTTCGTTCAGACGGTGAATCAACCGGTTCAAAAATGTAGTGACCGGACACTTTTGCAGCTTTGTTTCCACTGAAAATTTTAAAGCAATTGTTTTTTTTTTTTTTTTTTTTTATATATAGCCTATATACATCTCGAAAAAAACGGTTTCACAATTCTGATGGTTCACGGACCTGGCTTCTGTTTCTTTCCCACACAATTTAGTTTGGTGAGCGGGTACGAAATACCGCGAATTTTTCGGATTTTCTTTTTTCCGTCACGGCAGCGAATTCCACTCGCTCCAAAATCGCAAAAATACAAAACACTGCACACAAGTTGCTTTCAAGTAAGGAGTTCTTGAACAAAACAAACCAGTTCTGAGAAATCACAACATTAAAAACTTGCAATTGATGCAAAATAAAATAGAAAGTTATTTTAAATTGTAAAAATACGTAACAATATTCCTGCTTTTACTGTACGTTTGATCAAATAAATGCAGCCTTCATATCTTTCACAAACACTAAAGATCCCAATTGGGGTATGCTAATACTTGGGATGTGCCAACCACCGAAATTTCAATTTTGTAGCGAAACAAATTTTGCCTGCATTCAATTTCTATTTCCAGTGTTATAAAATGAATACCAACCAACCACAAGGTTTGCATCCATTTCTAACTATTATTTGATTAGACTGTGATATATGTGAAAACATAAATGAACTACTTTTTGGTATGAAAGCCACTAGCCAATGAACTAAGCACACAATGAGGTCATGTGACAGTATGCATTTTGGGTCTACAGCCTCCATATCTCGGTTCTCTCACCCAACTCAAAGCTCCTGGAGCTTATTCTCTGCGCTCACAGGACTCCTATACTCTTTCAGTTCCATCTGCTCGAACTGAACTTGGAAAACAAGCTTTTCGGTTTGCGGCGCCCAATGATTGGAGCGCTTTACAACACAACTTGAAGTTGCAGACCTTGGTGTCAATGAACACCTTTAGATTCTTGATCAATGAGCTGCTCAAGGAAGAATTAACTTGTAAATGCTTTTGTTTTGGATAGTGTTTTGTGTTCTTTTTCTGAAATGCAGCGCTGCATCTTGGCCAGGTCACTTCTGTAAAAGAGATTTTTTTAATCTCAGAAAGTTTTACCTGGTTAAATAAAGGACAAATGAATAAATATGCAGTAAGTATGCTAGTATTCCATTTAGAACTTTACAAGTGTGGTCTTTAAGTCCATTCTAATTTAAGATCACTGATATTTTTTAGGTCTTCTTAGGGTTCTTATTTGCATGTTTAGTGACAAAAACAAGTCAAACGTACACTTGTAAAAATAGTTTAATGCATGTGATCCGGGGACTAAACGGGTGGACACAGGTGCTGACAGTATTGAGATGCACAGTTAATTCATGATATAGCCTACGACATGGGGGTGGAAAGTACAAAGTCTGATTCTGTCACTTTATTATATTGTGATACTACAGACATGATTCTATTCTTGGTCTGCATCGCATGATTAATCCAGAATTGATCAATATTAATAATAATAAAAAAAGTCACACCAAAACAATGACTTACAAAACAACATCAAATACACAATTCTAAACGTGATCTCATCTAGTAGCCAGGAACAAAACACAGTATATCATGATTAAAAAAAAAAGAAAGAAAGAAAGAAAAAATAACTTTCTGTACATGGTTATCTTGCTTAGAACGAAAGGAAAAACAGCAGATAAAACAAGTTCAGAAAACAACTAAAAATAATGTACAATACACAGGTTAATTGATGTGTCGTGATTACTTTGACTTCCTTCGTTTAGCCTGGGTGGGACTGGCTCCAGTGTTTGATTCTTGAAAGACAGAAGAAAGAAAAGGTAAATTAGTCATCAAAAACATTCATTTCAGCATTTATGGTAAACTTGTGATTTACAATGGATGTTTTTGCTTTAAGATTCAAATATATATATTTTTTTATACATATAGTTACAGTTTCTACATACATTTTCATTTCACCACTCATTTGTTATATATATATAAATACACTACCAGTCAAAAGTTTTTGAACAGTAAATATTTGTAATGTTTTTTAAAGAATTCTCTTCTGCTCAACAAGCCTGCATTTATTTGATCCAAAATACAGCAAAAGCAGTAATATATTGTGAAATATTTGTACTGTTCAAAATAACTGTTTTCTGTGTGAATATCTGTTAAAATGTAATTGATTGCTGTGATCAAAAGCTGAATTTTCAGCATCATTCCTCCAGTCTTCAGTGTCGCATGATCCTTCAGAAATCATTATAATATGCTGATTTGCTGCTCAATCATTTTTTTATTATTATTATCAATATTTAAAACAGTTGAGTACATTTTTTTCAGGATTCTTTGATGAATAGAAAGATCAGCATTTATCTGAAATAAAAAGCTTTTTAACATTATACACTATACCATTCAAAAGCTTAGAGTCAGTATATACAGTGGGTACGGAAAGTATTCAGACCCCCTTAAATTTTTCACTCTTTGTTATATTGCAGCCATTTGCTAAAATCATTTAAGTTAATTTTTTTTCCTCATTAATGTACACACAGCACCCCATATTGACAGAAAATATACACTACCAGTCAAAAGTTTTTGAACAGTAAATATTTGTAATGTTTTTTAAAGAATTCTCTTCTGCTCAACAAGCCTGCATTTATTTGATCCAAAATACAGCAAAAGCAGTAATATATTGTGAAATATTTGTACTGTTCAAAATAACTGTTTTCTGTGTGAATATCTGTTAAAATGTAATTGATTGCTGTGATCAAAAGCTGAATTTTCAGCATCATTCCTCCAGTCTTCAGTGTCGCATGATCCTTCAGAAATCATTATAATATGCTGATTTGCTGCTCAATCATTTTTTTATTATTATTATCAATATTTAAAACAGTTGAGTACATTTTTTTCAGGATTCTTTGATGAATAGAAAGATCAGCATTTATCTGAAATAAAAAGCTTTTTAACATTATACACTATACCATTCAAAAGCTTAGAGTCAGTATATACAGTGGGTACGGAAAGTATTCAGACCCCCTTAAATTTTTCACTCTTTGTTATATTGCAGCCATTTGCTAAAATCATTTAAGTTAATTTTTTTTCCTCATTAATGTACACACAGCACCCCATATTGACAGAAAAACACAGAATTGTTGACATCTTTGCAGATTTATTAAAAAAGAAAAACTGAAAAATGCTCAGTATTTAGTAGAAGCACCCATTTGATCTAATACAGCCATGAGTCTTTTTGGGAAAGATCCAACAAGTTTTTCACACCTGGATTTGGGAATCCTCTGCCATTCCTCCTTGCAGTCTGCCATTCGATCCTCTCCAGTTCTGTCAGGTTGGATGGTAAACGTTGGTGGACAGCCATTTTTAGGTCTTTTAGGTCTTGCTCAATTGGGTTTAAGTCAGGGATCTGGCTGGGCCATTCAAGAACAGTCACAGAGTCGTTGTGAAGCCACTCCTTCGTTATTTTAGCTGTGTGCTTAGGGTCATTGTCTTGTTGGAAGGTAAACCTTAGTTCCAGTCTGAGGTCCTGAGCACTCTGGAGAAGGTTTTCATCCAGGATATCCCTGTACTTGGCCGCATTCATCTTTCCCTCGATTGCAACCAGTCGTCCTGTCCCTGCAGCTGAAAAACACCCCCACAGCATGATGCTGCCACCACCATGCTTCACTGTTGGGACTGTATTGGACAGGTGCCTGGTTTTCTCCACACATACCACTTAGAATTAAGGCCAAAAAGTTCTATCTTGGTCTCATCAGACCAGAGAATCTTATTTCTCACCATCTTGGAGTCCTTCAGGTGTTTTTTTAGCAAACTCCATGCGGGCTTTCATGTGTCTTGAACTGAGGAGAGGCTTCCGTCGGGCCACTCTGCCATAAAGCCCCGACTGGTGGAGGGCTGCAGTGATGGTTGACTTTCTACAACTTTCTCCCATCTCCCGACTGCATCTCTGGAGCTCAGCCACAGTGATCTTTGGGTTCTTCTTTACCTCTCTCACCAAGGCTCTTCTCCCCCGATAGCTCAGTTTGGCCAGACGGCCAGCTCTAGGAAGGGTTCTGGTCATCCCAAACGTCTTCCATTTAAGGATTATGGAGGCCACTGTGCTCTTAGGAACCTTAAGTGCAACAGAAATTTTTTTGTAACCTTGGCCAGATCTGTGCCTTGCCACAATTCTGTCTCTGAGCTCTTCAGGCAATTCCTTTGACCTCATGATTCTCATTTGCTCTGACATGCACTGTGAGCTGTAAGGTCTTATATAGACAGGTGTGTGGCTTTCCTAATCAAGTCCAATCAGTATAATCAAACACAGCTGGACTCAAATGAAGGTGTAGAACCATCTCAAGGATGATCAGAACAAATGGACAGCACCTGAGTTAAATATATGAGTGTCACAGCAAAGGGTCTGAATACTTAGGACCATGTGATATTTCAGTTTTTCTTTTTTAATAAATCTGCAAAAATGTCAACAAATCTGTGTTTTTCTGTCAATATGGGGTGCTATGTGTACATTAATGAGGAAAAAAAATTAACTTAAATGATTTTAGCAAATGGCTGCAATACAACAAAGAGTGAAAAATTTAAGGGGGTCTGAATACTTTCCGTACCCACTGTAACCTCTAAATATGGTGGTTTTTTTCTGGCGGTATTTTGTGATTTATGGAGCGATTAAAAGAGAGATCCCCTCAGTAAAAGCCTTTAACTCTAATATGTAAAAAAAAAATTGGACCAGGCTTTATGCAATGTTCAGTTTATTATTCTGGAAATATATGCAAATGAGTGCATATTTAATTAGATAATGCAACGTTTGCATATGTGAACATAATGTTACAGAAAACTTAAAGGCTTCATTTGGCCAAAAAATTTAAATTGTCATCATTTCCTTACATCAAGTTGTTCCAAACCTGTATG